ATAGATAGATAGATAGATAGATAGATAGATAGATTGATAGATAGATAGATAGATAGATAGATAGGTGTACTGTCAGATAGGTTTGCTGCTGCTCTTATTGATTAGTTTAATATGATGTAGTTGCGCAAACTTTGTCAACGAATGGCTGTTGCAAAAATTCGCAGGTCATTCACATTTGTAATGTGCATTGTTGACAAAAAATGTCCTCCAACAAAAGACACCATTTGGCCATTGACCTGTTTAATTATTTTCGTTATTTAACCACCGTGCCTGTGTTTCATACCTGCATTCATAGCTTATGCTAAGGAGTAATCAGAACTCGATAAGGGAACTGGGAGTTTTCCCCAAACGCATTGAAGCATAACCTCAAGGGGCCGGGGTATTGAGTACATTTCTGCAAAGGGTCCTCTAGAAAAGAAATGTCTCATGTTGGTCTTTCCTGAGAGAACCCCTCAGAAGAGATCAATTGTGACATAAGTCTTGCGGTGAATACTAATTATTGGACGATTGTCGGGTGGATTCGCAGTCTCTTGCAGAGCTCAACCCATTCAGTCAAAAATATGCTCGCACACACTGAAAACGAATAACAAACAGTTGTGAAGATAATTGCGTAGGGAATGATAAGCATAGCGAAAGACCAGGAGGGGTTGTTGCAACGGAGATGTTTTTGGTCTGTAACTATGACAACCGATTGTAAGGGGCAGGAAACATGTTACTGATGTTTTTTTGGAAAACTCCATGGTTTCACCATGTATCTAGTGGCATTTACTAGTACGGTAGCCTGGTTCCTATGTGAATTCTCATACAAGGATTATTACTTCATAACTTTTCGAGTGTTCCTTTCTGATAAAAATTTCAGTCTAACCACCAATCACTGTTAGACTTTGCCTTACTAGGTAGAGGTTGATGTCCAAAACTTTGTGATGTAAATCATATGGTTGCTTTGTGTCCAGGTAAGTCTTTATATAAGCAGCTGTTGCATATGGACGCATATTCTCTGCAGACCTTGTGTTCAAGCACTTTTTGAGAGGAGCACAACTTTACCTGTGTCCAAATGGGCACGAGAATTGCCAGCAGTTGGGAAGTTTTCAGCAACCTTATAAGTAGTGTGTCAGATCTAGCTCCTTCCAACTTGGTGGAAATTCAGATACATCAAAATTTTTGTCTGGTTCACGGTAATCATACAATATTTGCTGTGTCTGAAACCAAGTTAAAGATTTCGGTCCCACCTCACTTGTGCTTCTAGTCATGTGTGTATCACCGGAGAAAGGCGGCAATAAATTTAGGGATTAACTGATTTTTCGATTTACTGTTGGAATATTTTTGTGATTCTAAATATAAACCTATACCAATATATATACATATATATATAGGTTACTTTATATCCGTATCGGTTATATCAATCTGCCAATCTATGAATGGTGGAAATCTGAATTAAAAATTTTACACATAGAGGCATATTATTTAACATCCTTGTGTAGGATACGCTCCAGACGAAGTTTATGGTTTCGTATATCGGCTGTTTCCCGTCTGAGATATGAGTGGACTCTTTTGGTAGATCCTATGACTGATTCAAGCTTGTTCTATTCATCTTAATCTAGAGATATTTGGTGTGGGGAAAGAAAACTTGTTGAATTTTACGAGGCTTGTGACGTAAACGTTTTTACTTCAGTTCAGTTTGCCATTCAGTTAGTCAGCTAGTTTAGCTTGGAAGTGAAACGCTGACAGTGCTATTAAATGTCGTTCAAAATATAATGGTTCGTGTTTTTCATTCATTTATGTCGGCTTCCTTGGCAGATTTGATTCGCAATCCGACATCATTAAAAATTTATCTTAGCAAAAACGATTTCGCTTCCATAAATGGTGGTAATCTTAAGGATAACTTTGGTTTTTCTACGTATTGCTGTCCTATTGAAGATTTGTGCTTCCCTGTTTTCAACTCTTTCTATTCTCCAAGACCCATTCTCCTGTAAGATTTAGAATAATGTCTTCTTGACTATATTTGTCACTATCCTCCTCTTTTGTTCTTCCAGCAGATCCTCGGGCTGTGGAATGTGTGTGTCTCTTGAAAATTTCATTTTCTACCCGTGAAAATTAGCTACATGCGATGCTACGTTGACCGCTACACTGGTCGAGCGGTTCGTTATGGAGACTAATTAGTACTCGCCAGTATATTCATGGCTAAGCCACGCATTGTTTTCGGGCACTGGCGTGTCCGTGCACAGAACCTCAGTCTGCCTAAAGGCCAACACCGTCTGTTAAAATCAGGTGGCCGCTCACTCTGAATCCATAGACCGGTCATCCAAAACGAATTCGTTTGAATTGTTTTAAGCATAGGTGAACAAAAGTATTTACTACATGTTGTGGTGCCCTTACATGAAGGTCATTTGTTGTTCATTGCGGTAGTTTTACTACTCACGGACGAGCTCTCCACCAGAGCCCGCTTAAGACCCACAGAGAAGAGTAGAATTTATTTGTAGAACATGAGGTTGACGGAAGCGCAGAGACTGAGCCTGCCTGATGAGCCCCAACAAGGGCGAAACCGGCCGTGGGCTATCTACTAGTTTTCAGCAACCTTGTAAGTAGCTTTGTTTATTTGTAGATTGTTTTACAGTTGAATCAGCAACTTCACTGGAGGAAGGGACTGACAAACCGTCCTCAAAGTACTAGCAAAAATACTCTTTCCAGTAAGGTGGTCCATTTTCGGAGACGATTTTTTATCAAGTTGTCAGCTAAACATAGGATCCGCCGAGAGGAGGAAAGATATGCCAATACACGTTGCCAAAAAAGCCCTCCCACGTGCGTTAGACTATATGTAAAAACAAATTCAAGGTGAATGTGTACTGACATATTTGACACTCTCTGAACTTAGCTACTGAAATCGCTGTTCCCTTTGACGTTCATATGTTAGAACAAAGGAAGTACAAAGAATTGTCAGACCCACAGAGTACACATGGGAGTTGTCAGGCTTCGGGGTGTAACAGTGATGCTACTGATGTGGGAGGCATGCGAGTAGTATGTTTTATTGTAAATTCCCTTTACGTCTCTTGAAAAGGGAGATCTTTTCCGGAATTTGTGGAGTCGCTTTCTAGCATTTGCTTGAATTTGAGCAATGGATGATTTGAGTCAATGAATATCCAGGAAAGTTCAGCAAGACGCGTTCAAGAGAAGATGTATGTTCAGTTTTTGTAAATAAGATGCAACTGAGATCTTTG